AAAATACTAACATGATTATATGTCTATGTTGTTCACGGACAGCTTTCAGAACGAGAATCTTGCTTCTCACTGCCATTGATGCTGTCGTTGGCTGATTGGATTAAAGACTTCAGGTGGCGGGAAAATGCAGAGGTCAAAGGCTGTACGCATGCAGAGGCTTGTCAATGGAACGCTGCACAGCAATTGAGCCATCCGCAGGTAGTAAGCGCTAGAAGTCGGTGGTGTTGAGGGTGTGGAACATTGTGAATGTGATTCGGATAGATCTTGCAACAGGCGGACACGAAAAGAAGCGTCAAAAGCCACAAGCATGCAGAGGCTCGTCAAAAACAAAGCGGCTGGAACGCAGTGCAGAGAATTGAACCACCAGAAGTTAGCAACTAGGTGTCATTGACGTTGGTGAGGCAATCGATGTCAAGGCGATTGCTGATCTTGTGGGATCTTATCTAGGAGCTGACTAAAGTCTGGCTCCAAAGATGCGCAGAGCAACCGACTAAAGTCTGGTTGTCAATACCAACGACTGATAGTCTGCTGGCAAAATCGGTGACGGCGCACACTCAAGAGCGTGGGTGGAATTTTCCCAACAGTGACCAGAAAGGGATTGATGAAACATTTGGCGTGAACTGTGCCATGTTAGGCGTCGCCTTCAAGGCCATGTTTGCCATGGCCATCAAGGCCATGCCAAACATTTGAACAAGTCCACTCACTGTCTCCTCTGACCCCGTCCGTCATCGCCAGTCATCCCCTCATCCTTTGATTAGGCACTCGAGTGTTGAGGTGATAATATAGGTAGATTTTTAGCTAATTCTGTGAGTTCGAGTTTTGTTGTCTTGGGATCAGACTTTCAGTCAATCCACATCCATCAGACTTTCAGTCAATCCACATCCATCAGACTTTCAGTCGATGGAACAAACTGCCAGACTATCCACCAGACTTTAAGTCAGTGGATTTCTTTGCGACGGGGTCGCTTCGTGATGGGGTCGTATGTAGCTGTACTTAGTAGATTGCTAATACTTGTTTGTCGTCAACTTGTTCCTTCTCATCGGCTAGTTTTCGTATTGGTAAGTTCACTGTGAATCATCTTCGACAACCATCTCTCATCTTCTTTCAATCCAGTCTTTTTGCTCGTTGTGCTCCTTCACTCGAGCAATTTGGCTCAAGATTTAGCATCTGTAAGCTCATCTCATGGATAACCATGGCTGCTGACCCCATTTCACATGTAGGAATTATATCTATGACAAGTCTCATGGCCTCCAGAACAGTTCGCCCAGATCCCTTGGCCCATTCTTGTAAGTTTGGTTCATTTTGCAGGATAGTGGTGTTATTTTCTCATTTGTTAATCAGATGGCAGCCCAGACGTCTTTGGACGTTATCAC